TCATTCGGAGATCCTATTAGATGAACATATAAGGAGCTTGAATAAAAGAACCAAGTTGAGAAGAAGTGAAGATTAAAATGAAAATGACTTGCTTTAATATTTTCATCACTTCATAGAAGTAAAATCAAGATTGTTGTTGGTGGAGCCTATCTACTTCTACTTTCAGTAGACCACATGTTGTAATTAAGTGTCATTTTTCACATTAACTTTTAGTATTTTATACTTTGTTTGTTGATTATTTAAATTGATTGCATAGTAGAAATTTATATTTTTCATAAGTTTCTTTCTCGGATTTTGATTAGGCATTTAGGAATAAAAAAATTCTTTTACTCATAATTTAAAAATAAAAGAAATAAACAACATAGCAAGACAACCGCCCTTAAAAATTATTTTTTTAAGCTTTTTTTCAAAAATTTCAAGCATTCATAATTAATGGCACTTCAACAAGCATGCATTACATTAGAACATAATAAAATTAAAATTTAATTACATCAGTTCTAAAAGTATACTAACACTTATATGTGTAGGTCCGCTTAGGATTTTCTTTAGATGTCGGTCATAAATTTCAAATTTTAAATAATAGCCTACCTATCTTTCATAAAGATCGGACAACATAATTTTGAGATGATTAGGTAATTTAGTTAGCTTTCCACTCTAGGCATATGTAAGTCCAAAAGTTCATATACTTCACTTTGAATAGGTTCCGGTTACTACTATGTAGTGCCCAGCATAGATATAGGTTTTAAGGCAGACCTTAAATAATAAATCCTCACCCTCCGGGAATATAATCCCAAACATAAAATAAAATATCAACTTAAATATAAGTTCATTTTTAATACTCTAAATGTTTTAGTAGTTATGTGATATATTATTTATTTAAAATGTATATTAGAAGAGAATTTGAAATATTTTTAAAACAAGATCTTTAATTTTGTCTGTAATAGCTCAACACGATAGGTCCTATCTTATTAGATTGGATTGTGACATAAACTTTCACTCGAAATAATTTTACAATCTTTACAATTCAAACGATCTATTTTTTCCTATAAAAAAATAACCAATATAAGTTTTATTATATCAATTTTAATAAGTGAAGAGATTCTCCTCTTTTTTATTAAATAAGATATTAGCAATTATATAATCATAAGCTAAAAAAAATCTAATATAATCCTACCACTTTCATTAGTCACTCAAAACACATAACCACTATGAATGCTTTTAAAATATTCTACCACAGTACCTACATGTTCATTTAAATATCCTCCAATAAAATTACTTTCTTTAAGAGGCATCTTTTATGTTAATTCTTCTAATTCATTTTAAAATTGTAATTTAAAAAACATATCCAAACCTATTTGAAGATCCTATGCACTTATGATATTAAAAATCGTAACATCAATGGTTGGTACATCCTCAAAAAATTATCTTGATAGGGCATAAATCTGAAGGAAAAATCAAGTTAGAAACTTCCAAAATTAAAGTTGGGACCATCCGAACTTTGATTTCAGTGAAATTATAGTCAAACTGAACGTCTCAGAAATAAGAACCCAACGACACCAAATTCGACTCAATCTGAGCCTAAATGTGTCCAAATCAAGGGCTCGAAACGCTTTTGGAGGGTTCAAACCATAATTTGAATTACCAAACGGTTTCCAAATGTGATATGCTTATAGTCGAATCGAGTGGCTCGACTAGAAAAATCAAAAGAGCTCAAGATCATGGAATTACGACATCATTAAGACCTTCAAATGTCTAGTTAACGATCCACAATCAAGGGATTCAACATCGGTCGTTCATCCAAACCACTCCCCATTTGCCCATGATCCTCCTTCTATTTATGAGCCATTCTACTCTAGGAAATCTATAAATAGATCCATCCTTCTGTGAGACCTCGTTCCCTTATTGTTCCTCTCTGACTTGGATTTTCCTCCCAGGATCGTCCGGGACGATAGTGAGATCGTCCAGGCCGATCTGTACTGTTCAAAATATCGGCCGGGACGATAGTGAGATCGTCCAGGCCGATCTGTACTGTTCAAAATATCGTAGAATAATAGTCTTGTATTGATGTCGTGAATATTCTATTGTAATTTGGAGAAATTTGGAATTTGTGCTTTTTGCAGGATTTTT